AACTATTACTTCTACTGGCTTAGTATAAAAGATGCAACCCAGCAAAAACCAGATAAAAGGATGCATGGTATTGAGGGCATGAAGTGTAGCTTCCCTGCCCTATCTGGGTATGCCACTCTCCCAGGACTGCCATGTGTTCAGTAATCTGGAAGCTCATGAAGTCTTGTTGACGAATTTTTGTAGAGCTTAAGCCCCAGAATACCCCCTCCACCCACCTTCCAGAGGTTCCTGGGCAGGGCTGAAAGTTCCAACCCTCACTTGGTCTTTCAGATGACTGGCCCCACCCTGAGGCCATGTGGGGGCCCTACCCTGAGTCACCTCAGTAGTGTAAACTCAGGTGCAATCCGAAGGGAACCACTATAAATAACAAAAAGACACTTCTGTCACTCAGGAAATTCCGAGGGCTTTGGGAACTCTGTGACAGAAACCAGAGTAATGACAAAATATATTTCATTTTATATTATACTTGCACACTGATTATTTTCCTCCTAATTCCAAGGATTGGATTAACTGCAGAGCTATCTTTTAATTTATCTTTCTAAATAGAGTCTAATTGAATGTGTTTGAGCCATCCTAGGCATTTTCTTGCAAGTCTGTGAGTTTGGGAAGTGTCTGGGACCCCATAGCTGAGTTTTCCTGGTAGACCTTAAGCTGTCTGCTGTAGTAAAAGTTGAAGGGAGTGCTACAGTTATTCCTTAAGTGCCCCTGATTATTTGCTCTGGTCAAGAGATCCCTTTGTGAAGTTTTTACCTTGAGGCTCAACTTATATTTTGTCAGAAAAGATTCCTTTCTGAGTGGGTTCTGAAACTTGCTATGATGATTATGCAAACATGCTGTGAACTATTATTCAACCTGTGTTTCTCTGGGTGGAAACTTGGGCACTGAAGGATAAGTAGGAGAGTGTCAGAGTTAAAAGCACCCATTCTAGAGTCAGACCCACTATAGTTTGTGTTCAAGTCTATCAGGCACTGACTGTGACTCTGGGCAGTCAGTTATGATCTTTAGGCCTCAGTCTCTGTTTCTGTAAAATGGGGGTGATAATCCTGCCTACTGTTTAGAATCATCAGAAGGGTCCAACACGGCAGGTGTGAGGTCTGGAAAGCCTTTAGGCAGGCACAGCACATCCAGTCACTTAAATATGGTTGATGGTGATACTAGTTCTTGCTTGGGAAGTTTGCATGGAATGTAAGGAAAATTTTGAAGAGAATAGTGGTGGGGGAGATAACAGGATCTTTTTCTTGCCTGTTTTGGCTGTTTTCTGCATATTATCAAACAGAAATTCAAGGGGAAAAAGGGGTATTTTCTGGAAAATTCCACCTACTAGAAAAGATCCCCTGTTCTTGAGGGGTTTTCCTTGCCCTGTGCCTGGTGCCTCCCATTCTCGGGAAGCCACGAGAGGAAGTGCAGTGGGCAGAGTGCTTGAAAGGGTGGGGAATACCATCTTCTGCGTCTTACTGGTGCCAAGCATTCTGTGCAAGAAGGAGCTACACATTCTGTAGAACCTCCCTCGACTGTTGCTCTTTTGTGAACTTCACAACCAAATGAAGGCATGTGTTTAAGTCTTCATGGAGGTGTTGTGCCAGAAAGTCTTCTCAACACAGGAATCCAGAAACATTCCCGAAGGGCAGATTGCTGATGTACTCCCTGGGAATTAACTCAGAGAGGAGGGTGTGTGTGTGTTAAAGAGAGAGAGAGAGAGAGAGAGAGAGACCCCCACATGCCACAGGCTAGGTGTGAATGATGTTTGCACAGAGACTTGACTGTACACTTAGAGACTTCATTCACCAAAGCAAGGGACTCTCTACTAATTGTTTCTAAGACATAAGACTGAGTTTACAGAAATTCATGAATGCAAGAGAAAACACAAGTGTAGAAAAAGCAAGCTTTAGTAGTTATTTTAATATTTTTTATCTTCCTAGTTTTACTTTGAAATTTGATGTTTCTCTTTCCTTTCTTTCTTTTCTTTTTTTTTTTTAATTTGAGGTCTCACTCTGTCACCTAGGCTGCACTGCAGTGGCCTGCTCACGGTTCACCAGTCTTCACCTTTTGGACTCAGTGATCCTCCTGTCTCAGACCCCTGAGTAACTGGAGCTGTAGGTGTAGGCCACCACGCAAGGATAATTTTTAAACTTTTTTGTAGGGATGGGGGGTCTCGCTTTGTTACCAGGCTGGTCTCAAATTCCTGGCTTCAAGCAATCCTCCTGCCTTGACCTCTCAAAGTGCTGGAATTACAGGCATGAGCCACTGCATCCAGACTGATATTTTATCTAATTGGTAATTCATTTTCTCAGGCAACTATTTAAACTTTTGTTTTTAGAAAGCTAATTCCTGTGAGTGCTATCATTGCTATTTTTGTTTTCTTACCTGTTTTTGCTGTTTTCCCTCGCTTTTCTGTTTATTGTTTTGAAATCAGTTAAATGAAGACAGAGTTCTGTGTGAACTGGCAAATTATTGTATACAGTTGGTCCTTCATATCTGTTGGTTCTGCTCCTGTAGATTTGACTAACCACAGATCAAAAATATTCACATACACACAAATGGATGGTTACGTCTGTCCTGAACATATACAGATTTTTTTTCTTGTCATTATTTCCTAAACAGTGCAGTGTTTCAATTATTTACATAGCATTTACATTGTATTGGGTATTATTAGTAATCTGGAGATGATTTCAATTGTATGAGTGGATGTGCAAAATATGTAAATATTCCACCATTTTCTGAATGTGGATTTTGGTATCCTTGAGGGGCCTGGGACCAACTCTCCATGGGTGCTGAGGGCTGACGATATTTAGTATATGGTAAAGTATAAAATTGCATGTGGGATTGTATAACCAAACCTAGTATAGGAAAGAAAATTATTGTTCTGATTCCTCATTTTTAGTCAAAAGGGAAGTTGACTGACATCACTAGATGTTACTTGGGTGTGTCTCACAGAGAGTGTCGTGTCTGTGGTGTGGAGGAAGATAGTATGGATCCACTTTCAGTACTGTATTTGTTTTTTTGTTTTGTTTTGTTTTGTTTTGAGTTGGAGTCTCAGTCTGTCACCCAGACTGGAGTGCAGTGGCTGCTCCCGGCCACCACAGCCTCGACCTGCTGGGCTCCAGCGATCCTTCCGCCTCAGGCCCAAGTAGCCAGAATTACAGGCACGTCGCCCGGCTGATTTTTTGATTTATTGTAGAGATGAGGTCTCACCAAGTTGTCCAGGCGGGTCTCGAACCTGCGGACAAAGGCAATCCACTCACCTCAGCCTCCCAAAGTGCGAGATTACAGGCTGAGCCACCGAGCCTGGCTAGTACTTTATTTGTAATGACAAGAGCCTTATTTAGATTAAACTTGTGTTTGGGAATCCACTCAGACATTCTCATAGATAGTCATGAAGGGCAAAGAAAGTATTTCTTTTGGCAAAGGATGGCATGTTGTACTCATTTTTATTTTAAACCCTGTGTATTTTTAAGGGTTGTCATGGGGCGATGAGGCCCCAGGAGGATGAAAATTGGATTGAGGGGGCAGAAAAACCCTTATTCTCTTATATATGAAGCATTGATGTGCATGAGTACATAACCAGATATATAATATATCTGCAGTATTACACTTTCATGGGAGAGTGATTAGGAAAGAAAATGTCGAGCAACTCTCCTGGAGCGGGGCAGTAATGAAACCTGGTTGAGAAACCCCTCACGGAAACCCCTAACTATTAGTACTTACAGCAGCACTTGGGGTGCGAGTTAATTTTCCTCAACCAGAGATGTCATTTGAATGTTAGATGTTAGAGGTCGATGTTGACTCACAGGGTAAACAGGGATTTCTCCCCATCCCTCTTTCCTCTCTAGAGAATTTGTTGTGGTTCGTCATGAAAACAGAGCTTTAAAAATCAATTGAAAAGGTTACAAGTGAGTAATGATATTTGGCCTTGCCAATTAAATAGCCCAGAGAAACTTGAAGAACGTTCGCTTGAGTCTTTTCTTGAGAAGTTTGACCACTGCACAAGAGGCGAAAAGAACATGGTGTGGGGGTTGGGGTTGGAGGCCAAGAAACTTCCATTCAGTTTTCTTTTGTTGCCAGTCTAGTCTCAGCTACCAATTTAGATTTCTTGAAATAGTATTTATTATTTTTTTGAGGCTAGGTCTCATATAGGATAGTTGCATGATCATGGCTCACCGCAGCCTCCACCCTTTGGGCTCAGGTAATCCTTCTGCCTCAGCCTCCCTAGCAGCTGGGACTATAGTTATGCATCACCATGCCCAGCTAATTATTTTTTATTTTTTGTAGCGGCAAGGTCTTTTTATGTTGCTGAGGCTGGATTTTTTTTTTTTAATCAGTATCAGAAGTCTACCTTAAGTCAGCCTGTACTGCATAACTTATATGCTGTGATCAACAGTTGACATTTAAAGATATTTGGCCAGAGTTAAGGGCTTGTATGGTTATGAAGTGGAACTAAGCCAAATTGCCCCATCTGGAAAGTTAAATGTCTTTCACCCCTGATTTTAGTTGGAATAGACTTGATACTGAGAAGTATTCAGAGTTTAGAACTAATTATTTGGGTACATGTGAGTTATTAGACGACAAGTCCCTTAAGGCATGTATTTCACTATTGGATTTATCAAATTTATTATCATATCAAATTTATTATCATATTTACTAAAATGAGCTGAGAGAACAGCAGTGTATAAATTTCCCTTTGGTTTGGGTTGGGAGGACTTCTCCTCCACTGTATTACCCATGATGTGTAGGAAGCAAAGCTCTACCATAGCTCTGCGCTACTTTGTGTAGATTCTACCACTCATGCTCAATTTCCATGTGGTGAAATTTATTGGCAGCTGGTGCCATATCGTGGGGTTACCTTGGGAGAGACCCTCACCTCTCCAGGGCCCTGGAACCTCATCTGTGAGCTGAAGGGACTGAATTTGGTGTTTTTCCAACAGCTTTTCTGATGTGATAATTCTGTGGTTACTTATATTATACACTCCACTTAAATTCTTTATTTTACTTTTATTCCTTAGCGAATGCTGATGTCTTAAAGGCAATGGTAGCAGATAACAGCCTGTGTGATCCTGAGAGGTGAGTGACCCTCCCCCATTTAATGGGACATTTTCTCATTACATGCTCAGATTTGATGACATTTGACATGCTGGTCTGCTAGCACTATTGCCGCTTGGAGTCAGATAACTCCTTGCTTGGGGAGCTGACCTGCCTCTTGTAGAATATTTAATAGCATCTCTGACCTTCACTCACTAGATGCCAGAGTACCCTTCTCCCCCTTAAGGTGTGACCACCTAAAATGTCTCCACAGTTTGCCAGTGTCCTGTTGAGGAGTAATCACCCCTGCTTAAGAACTGTTGTATTATATAATAGTGGAAAGAAATAAGGCATAAAGAACACAGCCTTGGAACGGAGGTTTGGTTCAAGTCTTACCTCCGCCTGATCTAGGGGAAGTTAACTGACCACTCTGAACTCAAGTTCCTTCATCTACAAAAATGGAGATCACCATATACCAGCTTTATGGTGCTAGTACAAGGAATATAACGTACCTTGGACATTGAAAGACCTCCAAGAGCAGTGGTGATTAGGTAAACCCCCAGGCTGGTATAGGAATACCTGCTAAGTTTGATTTTTGTATTATTTTAGGTTGTGGCTGTTCAGCATCATATTCTTTCATAGTTAATTATAGACAACTATATTTCTATGTGAGTTTTCATTTCTCCAGCAAGGAGCATTTATTGAACATCTACTGCGTGCTGGGTACTGCACCAGACTTGGACGTTCATAGACCCTTGCCGTGGGGAGCTCAGTTATTGGGAACAGAGACATGTGTGTAAGAGGCTCTGGGAGACCCAAGAGGGGGTCAGGGAGGTCATGGAAGAGATGCTGTCTGAACCAGGCATGCGAGAGGCAGAGACAGGAGGTGGGGTCAGTTGAAGGCAGAAGAAAGTTCAGGAGAAAAGACACTGGAGTGGGAAAGTGGGAGACGTCCCTGGGAGTGGTTTGATCCAGGGTGACCAGACAACGTGCTGTGGGAAACAGCAAGAAAGGCCAGGAACGTAGACAGGGACGAAGCAGCATGGCAAGGAGGCTGGTCTTCCTCTGCCTTTGGTGTGGGTCGTGCACACCACGCATCTTAGATATTTGACATGTGTTAGGTGTTTGTTTTAGAGACTAAGTTCAAGAAGGTGGGTATAGGAAGTTTGGGTGACACATTGGCCCATTTTCCAGCTCTGACCACGTTGCTCACCGTACCTTTGTCTCAACCACCTTTAGGCATCCTGTAGTGCCTGTCAGTAGGTTTTATACACAGCAGGTTATTGAGAAATGTTTGTTGAATGAACGTTATTAAACTCTTGCATTCAGCCTTTTAATACATGGTGCTAATTTAACATTATTTTACCCCAGAAAGGTACTGCTTTGTGTTTTTATTTTAACAGTTGAGAAGCCATCCTAAAGTGCACCAGAAAGCTTTTGGCTATCATCATGTTTGAGATGTCTGCTGAGCTGTAGGCTCTTTTGAAGTGTGCAGGTGACCAATTTTCAGCACCACAAAGGCTGATTTCTGCCATCACAGCCTCTTGTGTGACTTTGGGGCTTTTGCCACAATGTTGGGTGTCAGACTGTGTGTGACATGCAGCCCCCCTACTCCCACATGCGCCAGAGGGCTGATTCCTGGGCAGGCTGGCCCTGTCTGGTTTCGATTACTCCTGTTCTGATGTGCCAGAATTCTATCCTGTACCTTTTGAAAATAGCCAACATCTGGCCTATATACAGATGTTTTTCATGTTTTGGATGGTTTGGCCAAATTTCTTCCAGGTTATCAAAGTGGTCTCCACTGTTTCTGAAGGGGGTCCCCAAAAACATGGAATTTATTTTTATAAAATTGTGTGTTTCTTGCATGTTTAAACTTTAGTCACCTCCAAAGTACTCTCCATTTGACGTTTGATGCAATACACCTATCGAGATGCTTTTTCCACTGCTCAAAACAGTTTTTGAACTCATCCATTTTGATGCCTTTTAGTCTTCTGCCATTTTGTTTCACCTCTTCCACACCAGGAAAGGATTCAGAAAATGTTTTTCATCTGGAGAAACAAAAAGTCTCTCAGGGTGAGATTGGGTGAATATGGAGGGTGTGGCATGGGGTCATGCTGGTTTTGGTCAAAAACTGCTGAACACTCAGCACAGTGTAGACAGGTGCAGCTCGTAAATCACCTATCATGAAATGGGCAAATGCATTGAAAGAATGTCCAAAAAAATTAACTTTAAACCAAACTCAGTCTCTCACAACAACACTAGCTAGTACACTGATGCCAATGGGTTCCTAGAACACTTATCTTGTGGGGGAAGCCTGTACTAGAAGGGGCCCGTCCTCCAAAAAATAATTCTGGTTTTTTGGGGAGTTCCTTCTCATTCTGTATAGCAAGGTAGTTAATTAAGGGCATGGTTTCTGGAATGAAACTGTTTAAGTTTGGATCTCAGATCCAGCACTTATTTGCTGTGTGACCTTGGGCAAGTTACTTAACTTATTGTAGCCTCAATGTCTTCATTTCTTTTTCTTTCTTTTTTTTTAGTTAGTGTCTCACTTTGTTGCACAGGCTGCTGGAGTACAGCGGTACAACCATGGTTCACTGCAGCCTCAACCTTCTGGACTCAGGCAATCCACCTCAGCCTCCTGAGTAGCTGGGGCTACAGGCGTGCCCCAACACAGCTGGCTAATTTTTAAATTTTTTGTAGAGAAAAAAATATTGAACTCGAACTCCTGGGCTCAAGTGATTCTGTCTTGACCTCTCAAAGTGCTAGGATTATAGGCATGAGTCACTGTGTTCAGCCTGTGTTCTTATTTTTTAAATGAGAAAATTAATAATACCAACATCATAAAGTTTTACAAAGATTAATTCAATTAACATATGTAAAATGCTTAGAATATTAAGTGTTAGCTCTTTTTATTATTACTATAATCAACACCATCAACATCTGTTTTGAGCATCACTTTTGATATTTTGACCTAAAAATACCTTCCTTTGATGCAATAGCCAGATTGGATTAAATATTCTGACTATCTTAAATTATCTGATAAATTGATTGGAATTTGAGTTTTTTCCTTTATCAGGGCATGTATGTTCTGAGCATCTTTTTGTGTGGAGTTCCAGGCAGACACTCAGGTATTTGTGAGAAATTAGTGTGATTATGTGGGAAGGGAGATCAGTGTTTTAGAAATATTTTAATGCTACTTTCTTTTTTAGACTACATATTAGAAGGCTGAATGCAAGGGTTTAACAACATTCATTCAACAAACATTTCTCAGTTAGCAGCTGTGTCCAAAACCAATGACAGGCACTACAGGATGCCCAAAGATGGCCGAGACAGAGGCATCATGAGTTAATATGATCTGATGCGTACTAATGCTTTAAAGTCAGGCTGTCATCCTTAGAAGCAGTAGTTTATTTCCAGACAATCTGTTCCATTCTAGAAGTGAAGAATCACATTATTATTTTATCTGCTGTGTAAGGTCAGCTCACAAAGTCCATTTGTACAATTGGAAGATGCAACCTGGTTCTTACATCACAGGGAGAGAGATCACCTTAACTCATGTGTCCTTTAAGTAACCAGTTCTCCCTTTTCCTTTTCCTCCCCTTCTAAGCCCCGTGACCCCCAGCACACCTGGGAGCCCACCCGTGAGTCCTGGGCCCTTGTCACCAGGGGCCACCCCGGGGAAGCACGTCTGTGGCCACCATCTGCACACCGTTGGCGGTGTTGTCGAGAGGGACGTGTGTCATCGGTGTAGGCACAAGCGGTGGCACTTCATAAAGCCCACCAACAAGTCCAAAGAGGGCCGTCCCAGGCGCCAAGGCGAGGTCACTGTCCTCTCTGTCGGCAGGTAAGGTCTTTTGGTTTGTGTGTGACACAGTAGTGGATTTGTACCTACAAAATATAAAGCATGTTCAACTGAGCTTGGTAAGGTCATATCTCTGGGTGTAGATATTTTCTGGTTGGTCTGAGTCCTGAATTTTTCCGACAACAGAAGAATCCTAAAGGCAGCTATTTCTAGCTCAGATGGAAGATGTATTCATTATGGTAAATACTCACCATAACAGAGAAAACCCAGATTCTTGACTGCATGCAGAATAGACATTGCTGTGTAACTTATGGCAGTAGGTGGTCAAGGCGTGGCCCTTCAGGTCATCATCTGGGGTCCCAGGCCCCTTGAGTCTGTGGCTCTGCCATGTTTGCTACCAGAAGGAGAAGGTTTGTGGAAGATTGCACTCAGGAAGACTAAGAGTGGCCTGCATCATTTCAGCTGACGTTCCACTGGCTGGAACTCGGTCACTTGACCACAGCTACCTGCCAGGAAGCTGGAAACTGTCATCTAGCCCTGTGCCAGGAGAAAGTGAAGATATAGATCTAGTCCACAGCTTTCCAGGCTCTGCCTTGGGCCGTCCATGCGAATTGCTAGAACTTTTTATTTATTTATTTATTGATTGAGTCAGTATCTCACTCTGTTGCCCAGGCTGGAGTGCAGTGGCATGATCATGGCTCACCGCAGTCTTGACCTCCTGGACTCAGTAGCTGGGACATGTGCTTCTGCCTCAGTAGCTGGGACATGCACACCACCATGCCCAGCTAATTTTTTTTGTAGAGACGAGGTCTCACTATGTTACCCAGGCTGGTCTCGAACTCCTGGGCTCAAGCATTCCTCTTGCCTCAGCCTCCCAAAGTACTGGGTTTATAGGTGTGAGCCACCATGGGACCGTTTCTTATGGTTCACCTGGGTTTCTTGGTCCTAAAGTGCCTTTCACTTGTGACCCTTGTGTGATGTGGACATCTTGCAGTTCCAGTGATGCGTCAGTCTCCCTTGAGGTAGAGCACCTTTGTGGTTCGATGCTTTACAGTTTCTGCTTGTGGATTCAGTGCGTCATCAGGATGCGCATTGCTCATGCTGTATCTGGAAAGACAGTGGAGAGTTGTACTTAGGAACACATGTGGGAAGTCATATTGGCGAGGCACTGAGCAAAAGTCGCCAGTACCGCTTCCATGAGCCTTCTTTACTGACAAACTTCTGGGATGAGTAGCCTCGACTCACTGCTTTTGCCTTGTTCAAGTCCTGGCACCACTGCTGACAAACTGTTCATTGCCTCTGTGCCTCAGTTTCCTTCGCAAAGTGAAGATGACAGCCACACTCACCTCATGGGATTGCTGTGGAGACTAAATGAGGTCATTCATATAAAGACCAGTTTGGGGCACTTGCGCACTCAAGAAATGTTGGCTGTTATTTTAATTCGGTGGAGTCTCGCCATGGGTTACACAAGCCACGAGAAGGCCGCAGGGCCGCTTGCTGCTTGCAGCAAAACAGCACGATTCATGCCCACACTGTTTTATGATAAAGCAGAGTCATGGGGATTTATGAATGCAGATGTCATGAAAACCTGCAGTTTATTCAGACAAAGTATATTTTGTTGGTCTTAAGAAAACATCAGCAGAAATGCTCGACTCAGATTCAGCATGGCTGTTTTGAATTTACCACTCTGTCTTGGATGTAGGGAACTGTGAGCCCTTAATCAGTGCAGGCTGTTTTTCAGCGCACTGTTGCTTAAGAGTCAACTAGAGTCAGGTTGTGTTTACGACCTCTTCCTGTTCTTTCTTTCACCTTCTCAGAGTCTTCTTCCTCCTCAGGGCAGGCAATCTCATTTTGGACAAAGATGGAAAATTTATTTTAGATTATTTTAAGGGAAATTAAGACCAGAACCAGAAAGAAGCTATTTTGAAAGACTTTAGGGATTAGATGATATATTGGGAAAATGGTAAATTGAGCAAATTTCTTTAACATTCTCTCTTTATTCTTAAGGAAAATTTCTTTTGTAACTTCCTTAATTTTATCCTTAATCCTTAATGAAAATTAACCCCCAATTTTTTTAGGAAGCAAACAAACAAGGAAATAGACAAACCCCCAAACCCTACCGCCAACTAATACTGATAAAGTATGCCACTGGGGCTTTTCTAGCTCTGTGTCTGTGTGTGTGTGTGTGTGTGTGTGTGTGTGTGTGGGATGTTGACATAGGACTGTCTGACAGGTATGTATTTTTGTATGGTAGTTCTCTGGTGAACATCCTGGTTACGTCAGTCTCATTTGTCAACTAGTATTGCTGTTATCCAGCCTTCTGTTGTTAAAAAACTGATGTTAAAGCTTATGATGTTGAGCCGGGCTCGGTGGCTCAGCCTGTAATCCCGCGCCTTTGGGATGCTGAGGTGAGTGGATTGCCTGAGCCCGCGGGTTTGAGACCCACCTGGGTGGCAAGACCTCATCTCTACAATAAATCAAAAAATCAGCCGGGTGTGGTAGTGCATGCCTGTAATTCCGGCTACTCAGAAGGCTGAGGCGGAAGGATCGCCAGAGCCCAGCAGGTCGAGGCTGCCGTGGCTGGGAGCAGCCACTGCACTCCAGTCTGGGCGACAGAGTGAGACTCCAACTCAAAAAAAAAAAAAAATGCTTATGATGTCATTGTTAGAAACCACAGCTCTGAGGCTATTTAATGTTTTTAAAATGCATTTTGCATGCTCTGTAGAATGTCTGGCTTAGTCTGGGATATGGTTGAGTGAAATCTGGGTAGGGTGCAGGTGGCTCTGCTGGGTGGGAATGTCCTTCCTCTTGAACATGTCATTTTTATTTGTGTCCTTTTGGCCTAGTTCATTTGTGATCCTCTGGATGGATGATGTTTGCTTTGCTCATGATTCTTGTTTATTGGACTAGCAATCCCCATCACCTCTCTTTCCTCCTCAGGTTTCGAGTTACAAAAGTAGAACACAAGTCAAGCCACCAGAAGGAGCGGAGAAGCTTGATGTCTGTCAGTGGGACCGAAAGCGTCAATGGGGAGGTGCCTGTGACACCTGTGAAGAGAGAACGGAGTGGTACAGAGTAGCAGGTGAGTGCAGTTTTGGTGACCGAGGGGGTGGAGTGGTGCAGTGGGGAGAAGGTACTAAGAGCCTCCCTGATGTCTGTGGCAGCTGAGGAATGACATGTGGGAGGGAAATGGGAAAGCTTTCCTGGAACTGTTGAGATGGAAGGGGACTGAGCACGATTCCTTGTCTGTCCAGAACTTTATAAAGAAGTCACAAACTCTCTGGAAGTGCCTCCGGGGCTTGGCCTGAATGATAATGATAATGAGGACAGAGAATATGAGGCAATGTGGCATGGTGGGGACTGTGGCAAACTAGAAATCACCGCCCCTATCCACAGGGCTTGCATTACCACAAGGCAGAAAGCACCGAGTGTTGCTATATCTTCTTACTCAAAAGAAGGTGAAATCCAGACTTTTAAAATGTTGGCGGCTTAAGAAATTTTCTTTGGAAAAAAAGCCTTAAAAAAAACCCCCAAAAACCTTGTAGGCAAGATGACATGTCATCTTGCTGTCATTTTTAGGTAAACTGTGATTTGAAAAAGGTAGAGACAGGCAAACCAGTTGTTTTTTCCTTTCATTGAGTTGGAAACCAGTTTTCTTTGATGTGTCACAGTTCTGAAACCTCAGTAGGAATATTTTTCTTTCTACCAAATATTTTGAGGCAATGAAAACTAAGCAGATACTTCTTGGTTTGGCAGTTTTAATTCTGGAAGATAACTGCTTTCAAAAGCAAAACGAAACTCTGTGATAACTTGGTATTTGCTTAGTGTTCTTCTCCCTCTTTTCTTTCTGTTGTAGCTTAAGTAGCATTGATCTTTTCCATATTTCTTTTTCTTTTTTTTTGAGTCAGAGTCTCACTCTGTCACCCAGGCTGGAGTGCAGTGGCATGATCACAGCTACCACCATGGCTCAGCCTGATGAGCTCAGGCGATCCTTTCACCTCAACCTTCCAAGCTGAAACTATAAACCACCATGCCTGGTTAATTTTTTTATTTATTGTGGAGGTGAAGCCAGGTCTCGCCAAGTTGTCCCGGCTGATCTTGAACCCCTGGGCTCAGGCAATCCTTCTACCTCTGCTCCCTAGCACCCATGTTTCTTATTCTTGGTAAAAGCGCAGGTGTGAGGACTTGGAAGGACTGTCCTCTGAACACCCCAATGGAACCATCAGAGCCTGACCTTTAAGTCAGAAGAGTCTGCACTTCTAGAGGGAAGGGGTGGGGGATGAGGGAGAGGCCAGACAGGATCCGCACAAGTGCAGTCACAGCAGAGTTGAACCTGAGTCCTGAAGTCAGGCAGCTGGGTTTGAATCCCAGTTGGCCACTCACTAGCTGGGACCTGGGCAAGGTTCTTTCTCTTTTTATGGCTCACTGAGAATGCAAACGATGCCGCTGAGCCTCAGGAGAGGCAATGAGATCCTCGTGAAGGTACATGCGGCTAGTCAGGGCCTGGCACGTGGGAGGTGCTGTTGGGGCTACTGATGTTTATGAGTGAATTGACTTTTTATGAGTGGCTGAGTGGAGGAGACAAGTACTCTTAGGCGGAGCTTCTCTGATCATCTGTCAGGATCCGAGGCTCAAGACGCTCCGGAGGCATCATCTGGAAGAGTCGGGCCTGAGTTTTCTGAGACGTGGGGGCTCTGGTAGCTTTTGAGTGCTGGTCCTTGCAGTTTTGCCTTTGGGGAGACCTGGCCCCGAGTTTAGGAGTTGAGTGGGGGGGCCTTCTTGAAAGAGGAGAAACAGTGCAGTAAAGGTCTGTCTCTGGCTTCTCAAGCAGGTACTTGTGACCTTGGGGAAGGTAGCCAAGAGGGATTTAGGAAAAGGAAGAGGATGATGAAGATAGTAACAGCAGCCAATGCTAATTCAGTATCATACTGATCAGTATCTCACCTGTCATCATTAGAAACAACTCTTAGTGGGGTTGATACTATGATCCTAGTTTTCCTGATGAGGAAACTGGTGAATGGAAAGCATAAGTTACATGTTAAAGGTCACATATCTCAAAAGAGCTGAGATTTGAACCTAGGTCTTTACATGATCAATCACACCTTTCCTTCCATCATCCTAGAATTATCATGAAGGGCAGTCCTAGACCCATGAACGGGGAATATTTCCACCAATGATCTAGGACTTTGTGATCTAATAAGGTAGCAAATAGTCACCTGTGGCTATTTATTTATTTATTTGAGACAAAGTCTCACTCTGTCGCCTAGGATGGAGTACAGTGGCATGCTCATGGCTGCTGCAGCCTTGACCTGCTGGGCTCAAGCGATCCTTCCACCTCAGCGTTCCAAGTATCTGGAACTACAGGCACACGCCACCACACCTGGCTAATTTTTCTTGATTTATTGTAGAGACTCGGTCTCGCCAAGTTGCCCAGGCTGGTCTTAAACCCTTGGGCTCAGGTAGTCCTCTTGCCTCTGCCTCCCAAAGTGCTGAGATTACAATTGTGAGCCACTGCACCTGGCCCAGCTGTGGCTATTTAAATTAAAATTAAAAATTTAGTTCTGGGCTGAGCACAGTGACTCATGCCTATCATCCCTGCACTTTGAGAGGCTGAGGAGAGAGGATTGCCTGAGGCTTGGCGTTCAAAATCAGTCTGGGCAATGACCCCCATGTCTACCAAGAAAATTTTAAAAATTAGTTGGGTATGGTGGCCCGTGCCTGTAGTCCCAGCACTTTGAGAGGTCATAGTGAAGGGATCACTTAAGGCCTCTCAAAGATCAGCCTGGGCAACATAGCAATACCCTGTTTCTACAAAAAAAAAAAAAAATTAATTAGCTGGCATGGTGGTGCACACCTGTAGTCCTAGCTACTCGGGAGGCTGAGGCAGGAATATCACTTAAGCCTAGGAGTTAAAGGCTGCGGTGAACCATGATCATACCACTGCACCCTAGGCTGGGTGACAGAGTGAGACCCTGTGTCTAAAAGAAAAAAAAATTATATTTTAGTTCTGCATTTACCTTAGTCACATTCCAAGTGTTCAGTGGCCACAGAGAGCTGGACTCTACCATATTGGACAATGCAGATCATTGCAGGAAGTTTTATTGAACAGAGCAGATGGTACCTGAGATATGGAAAGTGGAATGCTAAGTGACCTTGGTAAGTTAGGGGAGCATTCTGACTTAAGTCAGCAAGGACTTGCCTGTCTCTCAGGAGAAGCATTTGGCTACACAAGTGTAAAGTGAGGAAGGCCTAGCCAGCTTAGCTGCCAAGAAAGCCTGGGTCATACGGACAGTCTTGCATGAGTCATCAGCTGGGCAGTGTGTGGCAGTGGAGCAGATTTATCCTGTAAGAAGACCCGGCCTGCCCCCAGGCAGAAGCTGCAAGGTGATCCTCTTGTCAAAATCAGCCCCATCAGAGATTGACTGCCTGGTGCCATGACTGACTTTGGCCACCACTGCCTGGAGAGTGGAACTCTAGATCGGGGAAGGTTTAAAAAATTAGGATTGCTAGCTGGTTTTCTTGGCCCAGATTCTCGCTATCTTTATCTGACTGTAGGACTTGGTCCAAGCATATGAAGTCCTGGCCACATTCAACTGGTTTGTAATTTAATATTCTCTGCAAAACATTTAGCAGGATTATATAAAAATAGATCAGATTTGATCGGAAGATGTGGGTTCAAATCTGAGATTTGCCATTTGGAAATGGTACTTAACTGCTCTCTTCCTGGTTTCCTTGAACATGAAATAAGAATATTAAACTCACTGACTGAAGCAAGTGCCAAGGGAGAGTTTGGGATGCAGGTCGTTCTCAGGGGAAGGCATTCATCTTGTGTGGTGCCACACCTGAGCGGCCCTGAATGGGAAATGTTTTGTCTGAACCTCCAACTTGCTGTAATTGACTTTGAAATTAAAAATAAAATTTTTTAGCATGAAAATGTTCAAACAAACTCAAAAGTAGAGAGAAGAATAATCGTGAGTATCCATGATCCATGTAGTAGTAAATGGATTATAATACTTACAGCTTCCTGAGTGCTTGGTACTCAGCATACTTTGAAAGGCATATTTCTTGAATAAACTGTGTCTTCACTACAGTAGTAGGTGGGTGTCCATTAGTACCCCATTTTGCAGATGAAGGTCTCAGGCACAGAGCTTAGCAACCTGTTTAGAGGTATCAGCAAGAATGCGATGGAGTTCAGAGTCAAACCCAGGCAACTTGGCTTCAGATGTCATGGACTTCATTCAACTGGGTCCAAGACAGAGAGGTCCCACTATTAGAGCCTGCTCAGGTTGGGACCTGCCGGGTGACTGTGTCTGATCACGCCAGCAGAGTAAGCATTCTGAAAAAGGAAGGGTATATACATTGGCATTTTAAAAAATGATGTATTCATTACAATTTTTCTTCTAGATTTTTAAAATTTCTCATCCACAAAAGAGTATGCTTGGGACATTTAACAGGACTTGATTTTCCAACTAGGAAAATCCTGAAATGTTTTCTCCTGGGTCCAAATCTCTGCTTTTGGACTGAGTCAGAAGATTTTTTGCTGGAATGTAAGCAATAAAACACGAGAGGCACGTTATGTGTCTTTTGTGCAATCTAATTCAGTTGTTAGAGTTGTAGTTTCTCTTGAAAGATGTTTGTGCTTGCATTTGCATGTTTAGCCAAACTATTTGACTGGAATGCTTTGTTTTTCTGTAGAATGGATTCAGATATTCAAATGCAAATGCATATCCTACTTATTGATTAGGTTTCTTTTGTTGTTATTGGGTGCTCATTATGAGAAACTAGACTTAGTATTTAAAAAGAACATTATCAAGATTCAGGCAGAATTTCTCTCTTCCTCTTTTTTTCATTCCTTTAAAACCCAAAGTCTGTGGATAGTTGTTTCCTTTCCCTGCATCCCCTAGCCCAGCTTTGTTGGTCTGAGTTCTTTTTTATAGCTAGATCTAACTTGCCCTCTGCCTGATTTATTTTGACAATGCAGTTAAAATGGTTTCTTTTCTCTATAGAAAATGTGCTTTGATTTCTTCTTGGAAGAATAAGCTTTTGTTCTTCCAAGTTAAATAAATCGAATTGCTCTCAACC